CCCCTCTCTTTTTTTTTTTTTTTGGTGATTCTTGCCATGATGGATTAAAATTTTTCTATTCTGCCAATTATATCTGCTGTGCAGACCATAAATTCTGCTTTCACAATTCTTATTTCTCTTTTAAACCATTTGGGAACATCCTGCTGGGGTTCCATGCTCTCTTGGGAACACACACACACACACACACACAGACACAGGCTGCCATGGTCCTTTACTTCATCATCATTATAATAATAATAGCCTACATTTATAAAATGCCTACTATGTGCCAGGCACTTTGCTAAGCACTTTGCAATTATCTCATTTGATCCTCACAACAACCCTGGGAGGTAGGTGCTATAATTATTCCAATTTTACAGTTCAGGGAACTGAGGCAAACAGAAGTTAAGTGACTTGCCCGGTGTCACATGGCTACTAAGTGTCTGAGATTGGATTGGATCCCAGGTCTTCCTGACCACTCACCTGGCCCTCTGTGCACTATGGCGCCACCTAGCGGTTTCATCTCATGTTGATTCATTTTCCTTTTACCTTTATTCATAGATGCCTGGACTTGCAGAGCTGATCTAGAGGCCATATTCCTTTCTGTTATTAATGTCTTCCTTCCCTGTTGGTGTATCTGTTTATGCTCAAGGTCTTTATCTGAGTTTTCTTCCTCCTGAAATCTTTGATAACGTCAGGCTTTTTTTCCCCCAATACTGTATTCCCTTTTGCTCATTTTCTGATTCCATTCCCTTTGATGACAGTTACCCTCATCTGTAAGATAAAAGAATTGGTCTAGATGGGCTCTGAGATCCCTTCCAACTCTGCGTGGAGTGTATAATGCTACAAAAGGCCCCCAACCAAGGACATTAGTCCCTGCCCCAGCCAATCTACTTTACAAAAAATTGTTCTGAGCTCCTTTTCCTCAACCCTGTCTCAGGGTTTGTCCACAAGTAGGTCTAAGATAACTTAGGAAGACAGAATGTGACAAGAGACTAGGAATGGTGATGCTGGATTTGTCCCAACTTGGAGTCCTGGGAGGTGCCAGTAGGTCACACCAAGCTGGGCACCCAGGGGTCCTGAAGACAACCACTGATTCTTTCCTATCTTGGAGATTTCTCCCAGTCTCAGATAACACTATAATAATCTTCTTGAGAGTGTCTCTTACTCCCACACCTCCTTCTTCTCTTCCCTGTCTTCCTTTCCCTTTACATTTTCTCTTCCATCTCTAGCTTCTTATTTCCTCCTTCCCTTCTTTGGTTTCTGTTTTTTGTTTTTCATTTTTTGTTTGTTTGCTTTTTTTAGGCAGCTGGGGTTAAGTGACTTGCCCAGGGTCACACAGCTAGTAAGTGTCAAGTGTTTGGTGTGAGGCCGGATTTAAACTCAGGTCCTCCTGACTTCAGGGCTGGTGCTCTATCCACTGTGCCACCTAACTGCCCCTCTTCTTTGGTTTCTGTATCTCCTCCCCTCCCACCTTCTCCTTCTCCTCTTCCTCCCCCTTCCTCTATCTCTTTCCTCTCTTCCTCCTGTCTCTTTCCCCTTTCCCCCTCCCCTCCCCTCCCCTCCCCTCCCCCTTCCTCTATCTCTTTCCTCTCCTTCCCTACCCTTTCATTCCTCTTCTTCTCCCTTCTCTTTCCCCTTCTCCTCTTCTTCCTCTCTGCCTCTATTTCTTCTCCCTCAAACCTACTCTTTCATCTCTTCCTCTCTATCCTTTCCCTTCTCTTCCCCTTTTGTCTTCCTCTTTTTTCCCACCTCCTCCTCCTCTAAGGCCCCAGGGCCCAAGGCTGGACCTCATGGGGAGCACTTGGTGGGCCCTCCTTGATTGCTGGCCCCTGGGCTCTCAGATTCCGTGATCTTCACTTGATAAGAGGAACCCTTCCTCAGTGCCTCCTCCTACTCATGGCAAGGGCCCGGCCTTGACAGATGGGAGCAGAGTTTCTGACACGGATTATCTCCAGCTTGCTTTTCTCTTTTTGTGTAAATCACAAAACCACTGGATGAAAGAGTTTTATTTTAGTTTAGTTTTCCTTGTTCCCTGGCACCCCAGGCCTGTGGGCCTCATTAACTGATCTCTGCTGTCAATTAGCTGTAAATCCCCTCCCAGGGTGAGCCTATTAGGAGGAGATGACCTGAAAACAAGTGTCACTGGCCCCAGTGGTTGGCCCAGTTCTGGTATTAATTAAAAGGAGCCCCTCCCAGACAGGCAGCCTGGGATGGAGAGACCTAGGCAGGCAGAGGAGAGGGGGACACACCAGGGCCTGGGGAAGGCTTGGCCTTTTTCCTTCTCCTAGTGACAACCCTCCAGCTTCTTCCCCACCACCCCAGCTGCCCCAGGAATCTGGACCCTCCAGTGTTCAGGCTTCCTAAATGGATTTACAGGCCAGAAAGCCAGGCTTGAAGCCTTGGTTATCAGACTCTTGGCCAACGGCAATTACCAAGAATAAATTATTGAGAAGGAAGGATGGACAGATGGATGGATAGAGAGAAGGAAGAAAGGAAGGAAATTCCTTTAAATTATTTTCTTAAATCCCACAGCCGGCTATATTTTAAGAGGAAGCTTTCCTCACTCGATCTGATTTCACCATTCAATGCAACAGGTACACTTTTAGTACCTACTCGATACCCAAACTTTTGGTTGGGGCTGCTGTAGGGAAACTGGAAGAGGCCCAGCCTGCCCTGAGAGAGTATCAGGCCTAGATAAATAGGTAGAGCATTTATTAAATAAAGCATTTATTAGAAGATAACATTTATTAAGCCCTTACTCTGTGCTAGGCTCTGTGTTAAGTGCTGGGGACACAAATATAAGCAGACGAGGCAATCCCTACCCTTTGGGAGCATACATTCTAGAAGGGAGAAAACATATCAATTATTCACCTTATGCAGCAATAATCAATGGTGCCTATTATATGTTAGAGGTACAGACTGTCCAAAGGAGTGGATTCCTGCCTTCCGTGCCCACTGATGGCTGTGTTTATTCTGTTCTACCACTTATGCATATGTATCTCCCCCATTAGAATAGAAGCTCTCTGAGGGCAGGAACTATACATACATATAAAAATACATAGTTTTCTGCTTTCTTTTTTATCCCCAGCATAGATCACAATGCCTGGCATATGGCAGGTGCTTAATAAATGCTATGTTGATTGACATTGTTGGGGAGACAAGCTGCAGATGTGTACAAATTCACTAACAGTACAAGACCCCAGCTTGCGGTCCCACAAGGCAGCACTGCACGCCAGGCAGCATGGTCAACAGTTGCAGCAAAGCCTAGAGAAGGACGTGTTGGGGGTGCAAACCCTTGGCACAGAATGCTTCCTGGAGTTGGTGGCAAGCGCTCTGCTTCACTGAGCACGTCTTGCTGTCTCTCCCTGCGCCTCTCGAGCTGCCACTGCCCACCTTGATGATCGTTTCTGGTGCTGGGCTCCTTCGTGGCCTCCTGTTCATTCTGTACTATCTGTCCCTCCTTACCCTAGTGTAGTCCTCAGGAATCAGGGTAGATGGCCTCTTCCTCCAAGGGCTGGAGCCTTTGATTTAGGCCATGCCTGCTAAATAGCTGGTGGAGATAAGGTGAAGGGAGGAGGGGAGCAGAGAGACCAGGGGAGGGGGAGAGGAGGGATTCCTTGGTTTATTCCCCAAGTCATGTTGGGAGAGACGTGATAACAATCCAATCAGCTTCTACTCCCTGAACCAGGGGGAGGGACAGTTTCTTCAGACATCATGTTTTCATGATTGGGGCACCTAGGTGGTACTGTGGCTAGAGCCCTGGGCTTGGAACCAGGAAGACTCATCTTCATGAATTCAAATCCAGCCTCAGACACTTCCTAGCTGTGTGATCCTGGGCAAGTCACTTCCCTGGTTGCCTCAGTTTCCTCATCTGTAAAATGAGCTAGAGAAGGAAATGGCCAACCATTCCAGCATCTTTGCCAAGAAAGCCCAGACACTATGGAAATGACCAAACAGCAGTAACAAAAGTCTCGTTCTGTATCATGAGACCATCCGACATTGGTCCTCTGGAATCCCGGTTGGTCATTCCGTTGATCAGAGAACTGAAGTATTTCAAGGCTGTCACCTTTTCATTTTACAGATGAGGCCCACCCCAGTCTTACCCAGTCATACAGCAGGGAGGTCAACTGAGGCTGGAGAGTAGCGAGCTGACAGAGACAAGCTGTGACTTCTCCGTTTAGCCACAGGTTGTCCATACAGGGCCCACCCCGCTCCAGTTCCTCCATTCCCAGCTTTGGGAGGGTAGACGGGGAGGGTAGAGCGATCTCCCTTGTACCAGTTAAGTGCCAACCAGCTTTCGTGCATAAAGATACATCTGGCCTAGGCTACGTTGTGATACTTTTCTAGCTTACATTATTGTGTGCGTGTAGCTTTTACAGGCACATGCTGGTTCTAGGCGCTGGCTTGAAATTATTTTAATACAATCAGGTCCTTCCTGAGAAATCCACAGCCTTCCTTCCACCCCCCTCCTCCCCCAGACACCTTTTCCCGAGCATGGCCCATCTGTCCATTGCTGTGATGTCTGTCTGTCTGTCTCTCTCTGTGTCTGCCTCTGTCTCTCTTACTCTCTGTCTCTGTCAGCCCCAGCTCCCTCCTCTTGGGGCCCCCAGCCCCTGCCTGTTTCTAAAAGCAGGCACACACTAAATCCCCATGGAGACCCCTCCGAGAAGGAACAAGAGACCAAGGCTAGACTTCTTTCCATCCCCTGGACCCTGCTGCCTTGGTCTCCTCCAGGCCAGTGCCGGGCGTTGACCTGAACAGCGACCTGTGGGTCCAGCCCAGCGAGCTGGGGGGGAGGTGGGCTTCTGAGGCCAGGAATTACTGGGCAGGCTCAGCAGCCTGTTTGCTTTGCCCTCCTTCCTCTCCTCCACGGCGAGGCCTTGCCAAAGCGGACCCTGTTTAGTTAACTTTTATTTTGTGGTTTATTTGGGCGGTTGTGAAAGCGCCCCACTGGGGCAGCCCGCAGCCATAATTGTTCTCTTTCTTGAAATCCTCCAGAATCCAATTATTAGGGCTGATTTTCTGATCGCTAGCTCTGTTCGTGATGGGTCGGTCGCCATTTATGCCAGCTGGTTTCCTTAAACAAGGCCCGCCGAGCTGGCAAGGAGAGGAAGCAGCCGGCTCGGCTTTTTCATTTTAATGGGCTCCACCAAATGCTGTAGCCCCCGAGGGCCCGAACCAGCCCCAGCGGTGGGGGTGGGGGGAGCTGCCTCCGGGCCTGTGCATGCCCTAACACGCTGGGAAGCCCCTGACCCAAGGGACCCCGGGGCTCGGCTCTACTCCAGCCTATTCAGCTGGGGACCTAGCCTTCAGCCGAAACAGGGGCTGCTGGAGCAGAACACATCACAGTGAGGAAGGGTTGGGAGGGATGAGTGGCCCCTCTCCTTCAGCTATAACAACAGCAAGAACAGCTAGCATTTACATTGTGCCTTGAGGTTTACTGAGTGCTTTACAAATATCTCATTTGATTCTCCCAACAGCTCTGGGAGGTAGGTACTATTATTGTCCCCAGACAGATAGAGAGTAAAGTGACTTGCCTAGGGTCACACAGCTAGTAAGTGTCCGAGGCAGGATTCAAACTCAGGTCGTCCTGCTGACTCCCAAGTCCATTAAATGCTTAGCAGAGAGATTTGTATTTCAACCTACAGGCAATTGGGAGCCACTGAAGATTTTTGAGTAGTAGAGTGGTCTGATCTGTGTTTTAGAAATATTAATTATTTGCTCTGTTGAGGATGGATTTAAGAGGGCGAAGAGACTGGAGTCAGGGAGTTAGAAAGCTGTTGCCCATCGTCTTGGTGAGGGCCTCAGCTAGGTAGGTGGCCCCTTGAGAGACACGATTTTACTAGTAAGGAAACGGAGAGGCAGAGGAGTGTTCGTGGCCACCCTGCTAGTCATTAACTGAGCCAAAACTGGAATCCAGCTCTCCTGCCAAGAGAAAGGCCTTTTCTTCTTATCCTCCTCCCCACCAGGGACTCTCAGGTGATCCTTCATGAAGGCCATGGCATGGTATAGCCCAGTATAGGCTCCCCCACTTTTTCATTCAAGTTTAGAAAGGGCTTTACATACATGAACCCATGGGATCATCACAGCAAGTCTGTGGGGGCACACGACTGATTCAAATGCCAGCTCTTCCACCCAATGTGGAAGGTCACCAGTGTGATCTCAGTATCTGGGCCTCAGTTTCCTCATCTGTAAAAACAGACATAAGGAGATGGACAAAATGACCTCCAAGGCCATTCCTTTGGGCTGTAAATCTATGAAGATTCTATTTGGGACAGAAATCACCTTCTTCCTCTCTCACCCCCAGTTTCTAGAGGGACCAGAAGGAGAGGGATCAGGAGCCCATTTTTCTATGAAAATACCACCTGTTAATATAATCGATCACAAGGCCTGGCCCTCTCCCTTCCCTACCAGCCCTTTCTGCCTCTCCTCTCTTCCTCCCTCCGCCTTCCTTTGCTACCTAGGTGAAGGTGCCCCTGTGGATTTTTCTAATCCCAGCTCCCTGGCCCTGATAATTGTTTGTGATCGGTGCGGAGCCTCTTTGCTGACAGCCTGTGAATGTGGTGTGAGAACCCATCATCCGGGTGTGAGATGGAGTGGG